TCTCTGCCTAGCCTCACAGTCTTGGCAAGGCAGAGGATCCCCAGACAGGTCTGCAAGGGGGAGGAGGAAAACGAGGCCTCAGCAAGACCCATTCTATGGGGGGGTAGGGGGGGCTGCCCGAGAGTGGGGGCCTGTCCAGCTCACTGACCCCTCAAAAAATGAAAACTACTGTAAAAGAAAAAGCTGACAAAAAGGAAAAGAAAGGTGAGAAAAATGGATTTTTCCATTAAAATTAAAACAACCAACTAAGCCAAATGTTGCCATGCCAGGGCCCAGAGGGAGAGCGCGAGAGAAGAGAGGGAGCCAGAAGCCATCTCTGTTTCACTGTGTTCCCAGCGCCCCCGTTCTGCAAGCGTGCCCCTCTTCCTGCGCTGCGTCTGTGCAGCAGCTAGCACCACGAGGGCCCAGCCGATGTCCTGCCCACTGCTCCGGTCAGGAGCACCATGTTAAAGCAAACCACAAGACAGAGGACTGGCCAGATAGCGTCCACAACTAGGCTTTCGGGCCCTGGCCTGTATCGCAGGCACCTCCCAGTTTGCTCTCTGGGGCCTGGCCGTCTCTCTGTTTTGTGATTGCACAATACGGTTGGGGCCTGCGTGCTGGGTATTAATGCTATTTATTATATTTACTTCGCTGGGGACATAAGAACAGGGCACATGGTGGGGCGCGCACTTACCCCAATAGCATAGTCGGGGTCACTAAAATCAGTATGCCTGCTCTTTAGGGAAAGCGCCCTCACTAATAAATATAAGCTGGGTTACCATAAACAACCGCTTGCCTGCCTACGTCCAAGGCAACACACCCTCCTTTCTGTTCTACGTGGTTGCGTCTCCCCAGGAGGCTTCTTACACAAGAGCGGCCATTCTTGCGCAAAAACTTGCAGAGCGTCTACACTGCTTGCGCGTTCTTGCCAAGTACATTTCCAGTAAGGCGTCAGAAAACAGGGCTTCTTGCACAAGAGTTACTCCTCTCCCCACGAGGAATAAGCCCTCTTGCGCAAAAGGCACTGTGGACGGGCAACAGGGGTTCCTTGCGCAAGAAACCCCTATGGCTAAAACGGCCATCGGAGCTTTCTTGCACAAGAGAGCCCACACCACCATGGATGCTCTTGCGCAAAAGCACAAGGCAGTGTGGACGCACTCTTGCACAAGACTTTGCACACGACCAGTTCTTGCGCAAGAAGCCTGCAGTGTCGACATAGCCTGTGTGTTTCAAAACCCACCTGTTGTAACTCCCCCTAACCTCCCATCAGCCACCAGAATGTGCATATACCCCTCTGCCAATAGCCAACGAGCTCTGGGCAATGCAGGCTCTCAGTCCCACGGGGTACATGATGTAATGTGGCACAATGAGCATGTAATTAGTGCACCGGGCTCAAGTGTCACGTTACTGTAATGTAAACTGCACCCACCCTCACCCCAACCCAGAAACCTGTCTCCAGACACCCTATCCACTCCACTACGGTTAAACTTGTGCTTTACACTTGTTCACAAATATTCACTCAATAAACTTGTCAGTCTGCAGCACATTGGTGCCTTGTGGCCCCTGCTGAGACCCGATACTGCCCAGATGCAGCCTGAGCCCTGAAAAGCTTGCAGTCCAAACTTGCAGGAGAAGGGGAAACTGAGGCCCAGAGAGCATGACTAACCTCCACACCAAGCAGGGCAGAGACACAGGCTTCTGAGGCGTCGCAGATAGCTGTCAGGTCGTGACCGCCCTCCAAAGCCAGCACCACACGTCCGCCGGCCAGTTTCATCAGCTGCTTGGTCAGGTGTCCAAAACCTACAGGGAGGCAGAGAAACTGCACGGATCAGTCTGGGATGAGGCCCTCTTCTAGCTGAGTCCTGCAGCCCACGTGGCCCTGGGCTAACAGGTCAGTCAGAGGGGCAGCAGGTATGCACGGAGACAGCCTGGAGATTGCAAAGTGCTTTTCCAGTGGATTAAGCCCCCATTCCGCAGATGGGGAAACTGAGGCAAGGAGCAGGACAGTGACTCTCCCCCTGCCTCCCCGGAAAGCCAGGTGGGGACACAGCTGAGGGACAGCCCTGCGGGGCATTGAGCTGTTCTGTCAGCACTTTTGTCTGCATTAGCACCAGGGCCGCGGCTGCACAGCACCTGGGGCTTGCTGGGAGCGCAGGGGAACCAGTCAGACACTCTGGAGCAGCAGACACCCAGGGCTGCAGG